TCCATGACAGCATTTTTCTCAGTTCTAAACAAACGCTGAGGTGTCGTTGTGTATGGCGCCATATTAATCATGACCTTATTTTCAATCTCTTCTTTGCTATCTTACTTCGAAGATGAAAAGAAATCTATCGCAAAAGGGGAGAACCACGTCAAATCTGATCATATAGAATGTTTTATGTATAATCAAGGCATTCTTAGAGGCAAAGTTCACGCTAGTATGAGATCAAAAGTCTACGAGGTTACGGTACGTAAGCTCTCTTGTATGTTTATGTTTATATTTTGTGAATCGGTTGGGAATCATTAGATCAATTATAAAAGCTACTCAATAGCTTTAATATCTAAATTATAGGCTCCGATGTATATGATATTGACTTCATAAAGTATAGCTCTTAGCGCCTCTAAAATAGGAACCGTTCGATGGCTGTTCGATTGGAGCGCTGAGAACGCCTGAGAGCTATTTACAACCAATAAAATCACTAAAAGAATGAAAAAATTTTTCTTCTTCTACTTTAGATATACGTAGATAGTAACTTGAATATCAAGTCGACAGAGTGTGAATGTCCTAAGGGCGCTTTCAAGTGCAGTCATGCCGCAGCTGTGTTCATTTACGCCATACATCATGTTAGTCGTACGGACATCGAATGTCGATGGAACAAGCCAAAAAAGCCAACTTGCCCTGCAGTTCGGGACGTCACTGAGATGTTTCCTCCTCCGAAACAGTACTGTGCTCTATCGAGAGAACCTACGCAAGCAGATCGTTCATCCATTTACCGATCGTTATGTAAATATGGAAAGTTCACAGGACTATGGTGGATTCTGAGCCCTGAACCTGAACCGGTGACGTTACCAATGCTTACAATCGAAGAAATAATTTATTCTGATGGCTTCCTTCAAGCCCATGGAAAGGAAGATCAGCTCTCTTTTTTTAAGGAAAAATGCAAAATTCAAAGTAGTACTATACAAGAAATAGCAAAACTCACAGTGGGTCAAAGAGAGAATCCAGCATGGTCAATGCTTAGAAAGGGAAGACTCACAGCTAGTAATTTTGGTCCTGTCTTAGCAGCCAAGAGAGTTTCACAATCACTCTTGAAAAGACTCATGGGCGAGTATGATTTATCTGGAGTCAAAGCCATCACATGGGGAGTCAACAATGAAAAAGAAGCTGTGAATGCATTTGAGATGTCAAATTGTTTAAAAGTTGAACCAACAGGAATTTGGTTTGAAGAGTCAGGTATTCTTGGTGCCACACCTGATGGTCTAGTTGATCAAAAAGGTATTTTGGAAGTAAAATGCCCATATACCTTTAGGAATTCAACCATAGAGGAAGTTATAGAATCAGAATCATTCTATTTGGAGAAGCGAAAGGACAAAATTGAGCTTAAGAGGGATCACAAGTCTGGGTATTGGCATCAAATTCAAGGACAGCTCCATCTCACAAACAGAATGTATTGTTATTTTGTTGTGTGGACTGTCAAGGGCCACGTAACTTTGGTCATTCATAGAGACGAGGAATGGAAACCTAATCTTGATATTCTAAGAAACTTTTATTTCCATCATTACTACCCTAAAATGATTGAGGGGGAATTATTATAAGTGTGAATACATAAGAGGAGACATATACACTTGTACTCTTTATATTTATTCTACCTTATGTGGAAATGAGAAATTAAAAAATAATGTTACTGTTCAACTCTGTAGAACAATTGAAAAGATTGAAAATTATTAACTGTTAATGATTCTCTTCTTTCCTTGTACAGTTAGGATTATATGAACTAAGAAAATAATCATAGAATATCATAGTTGTTAAAGTTATGAGGAATAACCTATATCTATCCATCTATCTCAATTGTTGGTAGACTACTTTTCCAAAATAGAGACAGAAACTAGAGTGATGCTTTCGTGCCTATTAAAGTAAGAATCACACCCTAAGTAAAGAGCAAAAAGCAGAAAAAAAAGAATTGAAGAAATTGCCATAACTTAGACTTTTTATTACTGTAACTATTGAATCTTTGTAGTCATCGAAAACATGACTTGAGCCTCTCTTGAGAATTTTCTACTCAAAAAATACATTTGTACAACCTTCCTTGATTAACGGAAACTGCAAATTAACAAGAGCAGCACAAAGCTGAAAAATTTTTTGAGAATAGCATCTTAGGTAAGAGGGAATAAAACTTAAAATCTTAAAATCCTTTAACCTGGCGTTAGCCCTCTCTACATGGATTCTGCATTTGGCAATCGACTTAGTTACTTTTATTTCATTTTCAGTAAATTTACCATTGTTTAAGAATGGGGGAATATTTACAGACACACCACTCGGAACTATATCTTGGATTTAAAAGCCCTTGTCAGCAAGAACAAGATCTCCTGGATAAAGGTGTTTCAAAAAACCAGACATTTCCACTATAGCCTTATCTGAAGTTGATCCAGGGTAAAGGTTAGAAACATATGTTATGACCCCATTAGGTGCCACACCAACGAGTACTTTAAATGAATTCATACCTCTGTATGAAGAATAAGTTGCACTTTGATGACTCATTAGGCCAGGGGTTGCAACTTCAATGTCTGTGCAATCTATTATGATCTTACAAGAACTGAACTGTGTAAATGATGACGGCAAACAAGTCTTATTTTTCTCCCTAGAAGGTACTGTTGACATCAAAAAAGTGAACAAAATCTCGTGCAAGAGATGAATAAATGTAATGACAATATTAGATATAGTAGTTTCACTGCATGAAAATAACTGAGCTATATGAAGGTTCGTGTAATTCTGTCTAATCTTTATTAAAGTTATGAATATCTGGTCTTCAAAACTTATTGATTCCACCTTCCAGCCATGAAAATATATTATTGAGTCTTTGAATCTTAAAGTATAAAGTACAACTACATCAAATACTTGCTTAGTTGGAAGACCGGTTTCCATGCGTATTACATCGTCACTTAACGTAGACACTGAGTATTTTTCTCTAAAATATTTTGACTTCTCTTCATGTTGTTGAAGGTCATTTCTCAGCTGCTTTACTTCTGCTTCAAGGATTATCTCCGAAGCAGTTAAATCGTTGAGTACGTCCCGTTCTTGATCTTCACTTTCATTGCTCTGCAAGGCTTCTCTCATTTTTTCGATGTCGACTAATTCCTTGCCATCTGTACTTTTTTCCAATTTCTTCTTCTTCTTTGGTGGCGGTTTACTGCTAGAAGGGAAAAGTTTTCCTTCGTTGTGCTTAAAAATCTCTGGCCCAAATACCCTCTCGCCATTTCTGAAATGGCAGCTGCAAACACGGCTGTGTTTGCTTGGTTCTCGATCTTCTCTCCTGTTGAAACATATAGAGATGTGGAATGTATTTAGATCAGAGTTGGATTTTGTTAGAAGTAAATCGAAGGAAACAAGCATCAATCCAACAAGTACCATGTTTATTAGTCCGAAAGCCACAATACTTTAGTTTAGCTGCGATATTCTGGTTTTACAGTATATATGTAAGTTAAAATACAAACCTTAATAATCTTCTCCATCGATCATACTCAGATTTTTTCTTTTCTTTGCTCGGGAATGCAAATAAGCGACAGCAATGACTCTCAGACTGGTGATTACATTCGGGTGCGAAACACTGAACCATTTCGCCTAATTCTCCAATATTTTAGATTCTGCAAGATATTATGGCCTTATCCTTCTACTTCCAGCATAACTTGAATGTACCACGAGCGTCAAACAAGGAGTTCAAAGTCTGCAAAACGGAGCTTCACATGACGCTTGCGTCCGCCATATTGGATAGACCAGTTTGTTTAGAACTGAAAAAAATGCGGTCATGACAACGTGACGTCATACTTTGCCACTCAATTGGTAAACCATCTTCCCTCTTTGAAGAACGCCGGGCAAAACATCCCCAAGACCTTCCATGAAAACATCTTGGTCAACATTAAGGTCTATGCTTATATCAGGGTCCTCTCGCCGTCCAGACCAAATTTTTTTCTTTATTTCACGAGTAAGTTGGCCATGGAACGATTTTCTATCCTCTAGAGAGTTTTCCGAGGGAATGAACAGCTTTTCGCTGCGAACAAACGGAAAATATCCAGATCCTCTATCGGCCCTGAAGGGTGTCAATTCATCGAAGCATGTGCTATAGCCAACGTAATGAATTTTCAACCTCTCTTGTTGATTTTGTCAACCTCCCTGATCTCAATATTATACAATTTTGTATCTTTCTAGCGTGGATTCGCCTTTCTATGTTAAGTATTTATTGCAAAATCGCTTTGCTTTTTATATTTCCCTCTTTGGTCTGTCCGCCATTTTGAAAATTCGCAACGGAGAGCGTGCGCATTATGTAGGGTTAGTGGTCGCGTACACCTGGAAACGAGAAAAAACAAATGTTCGTCGCGCTGGGGAAAGAGTTTGATATGTCTCTGTTCTTATGGATACTTATCACCGAGTGTAGTTGACTTAGTAAAGAGACTAGACAAGAAAAAAGAGATGGTGTGAAGGAAAACGATCTCAGCATTTCCTTCTTTACACTGTGCTTTTCATTGATAATGTAATGTAGAAAATACGCATTTAAGCTTCCGTTCTCTTTTTTTCTCTGAGAAATACTGGCAAGGATAGTCAATCTGGTAAAAAAGCTATCAATGATGTAAGAACGAAAACTGTGATGCAGAGTACAATTGACGACTACACTCGCCGAGTGAAACTCAGGTACACGTGGCCCAAGCTCTCTATGAGACAGAAGCTTCTTACGGGTGTCTAGGCTCTCCTTTGCAACTCTCCAGAGAGAATTTTAAATGACCAGCCTTTTTTAAAGTCCTGCGAACCCGCGGTACGAAGTTCTTGTGAAACCCCGGCCGGAGACAGTTACAACACGGTAGGCCTGGACGCGAGTCAAATCTCTACCCAAAGACCAGCCCCTAGTCGAACATACTAGACCAAGAATGACACTCAGCCACCCGTGGAAAGAAAAAGAGTAGTGGAAATCCCGCGCTTATAAAGCGTCTATAAGTCTTCGGTAGAACTTGTATGGATCGAATATATTTCGATAAACTTGAAGACAACTATCTGGCCTTCGCGCTGCAGAGTATTGAAAAATTATCGCTATCTACGGAGTAAATATCAACACACAACATAAAATCGTTGCATGATATAATATACTTAAAAGATTATAAAGGAAAAAAATTATTAAAACTTTAGAGCAAGCCCTGCTGTATCGCCATATATCTAGCTTTTCTTTGACATCTGCAACCATTTTGATGCCTTCTAGTAGTTAGACTCCTGTTTTTACGCCAGTTTGGATGAGATACATCGATAAATCAGTAAACTTCCAACAGCAGGTCATATAGTTATTTAAGAATCGTGACCGGCATTCGTGCTCTTGCAATTTCTAATTAAGTGTCAACATCCATGGATCCGTACTCTGAGACCTGCGTTAAACGTGACCGAGCGCTGCGGTGTATAACTCGGGATCACTTACGACAAGATTGCTCCGTTTTAGGTGTTTTAAAGTTAAATACCTTTAGAAAGCCTCGACTAGAGCTCCTCAAACTACTCGCCAAAAAGGGAAAAACTTGCTATGTTCTTGGTTCAAGAAAATTGTACCGACAAACTAAATGCATTTTCCTTTACATATTTCTGAGAATCCTATGTACATGATAAGTAAAAAAAAACCCTTCACATGTAAATGCGTACTCATGATCTATAACAATTATTTTTGCTGTCCGCGATTTCAACTTTCACTTGATAATTTTTTCCAAGTTTAAGTATTTTAAACACTTTTGTAAATTTAACGACGACTTCAAGGCAATAAATTTTGTGAAAGGAAAATAGTGTAGCGCGAGTAAACAAAATAAGTTAAAAAGAAACAATTTCTTTGGTCCAATGTTGTACACTCTTCTCATCCACTCAATATTCCTGCCACCCCTCACAGATTTTAAAAATATTTTCCCCCAAAAGGCTTGGAAAAAGGACACAATGGAAGCAACCCTAGTTTGAGCGCTCAAAAATAATGGATATCAGCAGTGAGAAAAACTTTTTCCCTTTGCCTGGTTTTGTTTCCTCTCACAAATTATTATCAGAATTGTTTTTTTATGATCGCTAACAAATTTCTGGGGTCAGTTGGTTTAGTTCAAATGTACCTCATCGAGCGCGACTATGATTTAGGAAGTTTCTTGTTCTGTTTAGACATATTCCCGTATGGAATATCATTTTTCAAGAAACGAAGTTTCCTCACAGGTCTCATATTGCCCGTATTCCTATATCCACTATATTAGAAATATAACCAGCAGTAGTTAAATTCAATTACGGTTATAGGGATCTCGATATCTCTATAAAAACTTTTCAAATCCGCAGGAACTAGTGAGTCATCTACCACCGTGATATATTGAGGTGTTTACCAATGGTATTTGTTACTCCATTGGGCTTGAGGTAAGATGATTCAGAGACGCTCGAATGTTGGGTATTTATTTAGGAATAACTAGTCAATTGGATTGGTACTCCTGGCCTCTCAATAATTTTTTTCAGATTAACATTTGTAAATTTAGGGTATACCGCAATATTTTTTCATAGACTCTTGAAGAGAAATTAAATTCTCAATTTCAGTTGTTGCACTTCAAGTGTTTTGACTTGCTCATTCAAAATTGGCTCTCACTTTTTGACCAGGATACATGTGTCACAAAGCTGATTGTTTTTTGTTCTTGTTTTGTTCTTATTTTTTTTCTTTTTTCATCCCTTTGTGCAAAGGAGAGTGATCAGAGGAAAACATATATCTGAACACTGAACTGCATAGAATATTCTTTACTTGATAACTAGACTGGTTAAGAATGAGGGGGAAATCGAAGGTGAACATTCAATACTACAATGATTCCTTTACTAAATTTCCTTACACATTTTTCTTTGATAATCTAATTAGCGAACGAATTTTCCTAAGCCAATAGACGTTTCAAAGAAATTTTTTTCTAGTCCAGGTGTTAATGCAGATTTATTAAGATATTGTTCATAACCGTTTATCATCGAGTTTTAAGACCAGTTCCTATTTAACTTCCACCGAGGCGTTAAAGATACTTTCATGAGCGTGAAAATGTAAGTTTATTCTCAGGCTAATAAAACAGCTTCGCTGTCATCGAATTAGATACCTATCGAATTTGGTTACACAATTGGTCATGAATGAAGTGACATTAACTGTGTTCAAATTTGTCAGTGTCTCGTGAACTGTAGCAGGCAAAATTCCTCAGCACACAAAGCGAGTCGGGTCAAATGACTTTAAAGCTCCATTGATCAGTCTCAGAATCGCATAATTGAATAAAATATCGCATTCTGATTGGTCAACGAAGCGAAGTATTTAGCGTGGAATTGCGAGTTGAAAACGAGGCTAAGTGGTATTGTTTTGCATCTGCGTCAACATAACACATATCGTCAAAGTTTTCCACAATGTCATTTAAAGGTTTTTTTAAAAAACCATTGTCAACTTTTGAAGAGCCAAAAACAAAAAGAAGCGTTTTTGAAAGTGAGTCAGAGGTTCTTCCCTGTTTCGAAATGAACTACAAATTCTTAGAGAGGCATAAAAGCTGGAAAATCCTGTGAACACGGTCCAGAAAATGGCATGCAAATGTTCAACCAAACAAGACAAAGTAGCAACAACGGAAGAAGTGCCAGGGTCGATTGTCATATATACAGAAGAAGAAATAAATACCTTTCAACGCGATGTTAAACTTTCAGTGCTTGTGCTTGGACACTATTTCTTTCAGTTTTGCCACCAAAAGAGGTAAAAGGTGTAAATTATTTTACCTTCTCAAGCAAATGATTCGGAAATTTGAAAAAAGATTTTAAAGATAAACGGCTTTAAACTCAGTGAAATACATCTATTATCCTTGATATAGTGTGAAGCCTGTTTAAAAGTTTGAAAACAAATGTAAAAACAAGCACAGGGAAAACTAAAGTCGTCGAAGATTCAAATGTGTACGACTGACCTTGTTTCCTATTCGCTAACGCTATGAAAGTTCCAACAGTTGACTTTGAAATGACCTTCTGGGGCGCGCGCCCAGGATAAAAACAAACAAGATTATAACTGTTTTTTTTCTTATTTTCCTTCTATTATGCGATTCAAAGAAAATTCATTACCTGACGAGGGAATTTCGCGCTAAATTACACTTGAAAACCGATATCGGTTTTCAAGTGCAATTTCACGCGGAATTTCCTCGTCAGGTAATGAATTGTCCTATAGTATTTTTTGATGTGGCAATAAAAATTCAGTCCATAAAAGACCTCGTTTCTGCAAATGCCTTTTGCTAGAAAATCAGATGATAACAGCCGCATGATACCGGTCTACAAATGTATGTAACACTGTCCGCAGCCAGCCGTAAACTTGTGCCTTACTGATAGCACTAGAGGTGGGGAAACTAGATCACGAACAAGTCCATTTTCATTCGTATTTATTAACCTAGATTTTCCTGCAGAAAACGCAGGAAATGGCATTTCCGAGACCCTTCATGTAAACATTTTCTGCCCCCAGACCCCTTAGTTTAGATGGTCTTTAGCGCTCGAAATTATCTTCTCGTGCGTTCACCTTAAAAATCTCACGCTTCAACTTCTCGAAGAAATCGGAATCATTTTACAAAGTGATTACTCGGCGAACAATAA